AACCTCGCTTCCCAGCTCGGTACCGGGTTTGTCCCCTTCAAATTAGACGACGACCTCCGGGTCGTCCTCCAGCTCATGTGCGACCTCGTCGTCGCCCTGGATCACCACGTCCGCAAGGGAAACCACCCGCCGGAATGGTCCGACATCATCCTACAGCGCAACGCCGTGCAGAACAAACTCCTCTGGCTGAAGCCGTCGACGCACGAGGAATCTGTCAAAGCCGGCACGCTCAACAACATCACCCGCCTCGCCGCCAACATCTTCAGCGACATGGTCCTCTTCCCGCTCAGTCCCGCCACGGGGATCAAGCCCCGCCTGGCCGGCGAGCTGCGGCGGTGTCTGCGGACCCTCCCCATCCTCGACATCGAGGAGTACGGTCCCCCCTCGGAGTTTTTCCTCTGGGTGCTCACGCTCGGCGGGATCGCCGCGTCCTTCACCAGGCACCGCGGCTGGTACATCGAGAAGCTGGCCGAGTATTACGGCGAGTCACTGGCATGTACAAGTGGTGGCGGTACTGGTACCGGGAGTGGGAGTGGGGATGATGATTCGGTGGTGAAGCGCATGCGCCCTTTCCTGTGGTGGGCAGACATCTGCGATCGCCCCGCACGGCTGCTGTGGGCGCAGTCGCGCGACGTCTACGACGAGGAGAGGAGTCTTGAGGGGGAGTTTCCCGTACTAGCGACATAGCCGGCGCCACAGGTAACGATGTCAATGGTCTGAGGCGCACGGGTTGGGTAATGTACCAAGTTCCTTACCCTAGGCACTAGGCGAGGAATGAATGTTTGATGATTTTCAGTGATACTACTATGTAGGTACTTGGTACCGGCGGAGTATGTTTTGTTTAATCCCTTTCACAGCCTCGTGTAGTACTCGGTAGTACCGACAGTCGTGTCGATCATGAATCCTACAAAGTACTAAGGACGTGTGCGAGGCGAGGTCAAGAGTACGGTCGTTGGTCATGGAGCTCTCGGCTTAGCTGTCCCTTGTGCACTAATACTGGCTACTTGGTACTACCTGCTCTGTCTGTCTGTCGCGTTGTGCTGTGCTGTACCAAGTACTGCACTCCTAATCACTTGGGTATATCCTCACCGGATCCATCTCTTGGTCAATTCAACGAAAAAGAAAGGGTACGCGTAGGTCAGATGGATAGATGGTCCCGCGCCGTGATATCATATCCAGCCAGGATAGTGGCTCGGAAACAGCAGAGGAGGCAAGGGGTAGTAAGGGATAGTAAGGGAAGGGGGGTGGTAAGGGATCTCTCTATGGACCATGGCATTGTACATACAGTCGGGCACTCACTAAGTCAGTACTTTCAAGGGTTGGAGTTAGACTTGAGCTCTTCGAGGTTCAGTGGACGCGGTGGTAGTGGTGATGCATCATGTTGGCTTGATCCACTGATCCAAGATCAACTGTAACTGACGACGATCAAAATCCCACAAGGTAAACTTGGTTGGTTCAGTCACCAGTCTTAGTTGGTACCATTACGATGTTGGCATTGTATTCCGCAGAGTTTGGAATATGGACAGGGTAGTGATGTTGACGACATATGATCAGATCGAAAACGGGTTGGAACCCTGTTCGGGAACGAATGTGCTGGATATACTAGTTAGTATGTATTGGTAGATGATTGCATCAAAACATGTGCGAGGAACTGGAATCGGCGGTATGAACCCGTCCACTAAAGAGACACATGATCGACAGACACTATCGAACACTCCTTGCAAGAGTATAGATGGAGAGGCTTCGAGGCGTAGAAGCACAGAGCACCGGAGACAATCAAGGCCGTGACGTAAGCCAAGAGAAGAGACCATCGCCAACACTGTGCCGTGTGACTGTGTTACAGGGAAGATGTTTTCATTGACTGTGCAATAGTCTGATCTGGATTCAGGGTCCAAGGGCATCCGGCGGTAATCAACAAACAACAAATAACGACAAATGTACAATTTCGATCTTGGGTTCACATCGCCCATCACGCCTATCCATGCATGCGTGCATAATAGTACCCACGATGGCACATACAACCATGTAAGCAGGCAGCAAACCCCGTCGAACATACTCTGAATACCTGGGTAAATATCCAACTGGACGATCCAATCACGGAGGTCTGGTATATTCACGTATTCGGCATAGATCCTCCCCGATTCCCAACACCCCAACTCTCTTTGACACACGGCTTACTAAGTACTTAGTACTGAACAGGCAGACCTCCCTCTTTGGGAAGGTGTCAGCCTCACCAGCCTCTTTCATGAAGTATTTACCCATGTGATACCACGATCATCCAAAGATTTCTGTTGGGGACAGCTGTGCATTCGTCGCTCGAGTTGAGTACTGCTAGTAGTTGCTCTCTCGTTGGTTGATTGGTTGGGCGGTCGGTCAAACGGGACGGGGGCTGGGAGACGTCGAAATATAGACATGGAGAGCACACGGAGGAGTTACTGAGTAAGAGAGGTTGACGAGTACTCGCCGAGTCAAGTCCGCTTGAGTCGCGAAAACATATATCAAATGCTCGAGGTTCCCCGTCTTGGATATCCTCGAGTTCTATCTGGTTGGGTAGGACTCATCCGATCATCTATCTACGCGTGCGCCACCTATGTGCCACGCATGTATGCTCAGACCGGAGCCTGGTCGAGTGCCCCGTAGTTATCGAAAGACGGTGTATGTGCTCGGCCTCGTTACCTACGTCCACATGTAATAGTCTCTCTCCATCTGGCCGCGGAATACCCGCGTCGCGAGGAAGCGATGCGTCTAGTCTCGTCTCCTCGCCCTAGGAAAGGAAAGAATACTGCATTCTGCGTTCTCTGCCTTATGGTTCTGCCGGTAATATATCCCTGCAGCGAGCTAGACCTCAAGTACAAGGGGCCGTAATTTTCAGCCCCTCCGACAATGATAAAAGCAGCAGGGAAGCTCCACACAATTATGCAAAATGACTCGCCGCTTTGTGACCCTCCGTGGAGAGAGATAGAGATCTGACACCAAGTAATAGTGTGAATCCCATCCATCGCAGTGCCCGATTTAGAATGGACCCAGTCAGCTTGCGACGCTGGGGCGGATAAGGCGCCGACTCTTAGGCTTACTGGGCCTGCGCTCCCAAGTACGAGGTAGAGAGCCTCAAAGGTCACCTGTACCATGTACTAGTCGTAGTTGATCTCGCCTCGTAGATGCAAGCGAAGTCCGAGCTAGATCTCGACCCGGCCATCTCAAAGGTCACGATACGTGCTCATTGCCGATTGATCTCCGTTCGGCGAGGATTGAATACTAAGTAGGATTGAATCCTCAAATCGCACACTATTCCGGAACAACCACACTTGCCGCATACGTACCACAAAGCCATGAGATGAAGCCATGACAAAAGGGGAACTATCCCAAGGGCGTGACCACCGTCGAGCGGGAGCATAATCCAGTCTAGCCGAACATTCCCGGTGTCGCTGACGGCTTGGCTTGGGGGTTTGATACTCGGTCGGCCTCGTGTCTCTCACATCGTATCCCTATTGTGCAATTCATCCGGACTTTGTGCTGATGCCGAACAACTTGTCTCTACGAATGCATATGTGCCTATCCAAGCACAGAGCCGCCATATCGAATATCCACGAATCCGTCGCAGGGCCGCGAGGTTCCGATCGGCCATAGATCAATCCCCGGAATACGAACAGGATCTTGCGTCTATCTCTACCTTGAGGATGGCAGGAAGATAGGATGGGAAAGCAGATCCTCACCTTGACCCATCGCAGTATGATTCAGCCGTCTTCAAAAGGGATCAACCTACTGAGTAAATGATATTCCCGCATCCCAGGCGGACTAGAGGCTCTTACCGCATCGACCAAACGCGGATGATACTCGACTGATGCGCCGCAGCAGTTCGGCTGCTGAGGTCACCGTCGTCAAATGGGCTGCAGCCTGTTAAACATCAGCATCTGCTCTGGGCCAGTCTACAGTGATGTCTGTCCGCAAAGTCCGAATGAACCGTCGGCAGGCATGAATGACTCCACCTCATGGTGAGTGAAGCTCTCGCCCAGACTGTGAGAGATTTGACGATTGGTTGTACGTGTCGTGTGCACCGGACTTTGTCATATCTTCGTGCATATGTAACCAGTCCGCAGTGACCACAAGGCAACGTCCACTCATGCAGCCTTGACAAGTTGGGAAGAGTTGTGCGAGATGTCCGCCGAATGGCGCCAATTAGACAAACTGTTGAACAACTTCTACTAGTAGGTAGGTGATTGATCCCATGCCTGAAAGTATTCCCGGACAAGGTGCCTGGATGGACATCTTTTGTTGAGGTAGGTGTTGCAGACAGACAACGTGTCGGCGCAGGGAGCTTTGTTTGAGTATTGGTCTACTGGGGAAAAGAGGACCGGACGTGAGGGTGGCATCCAGTCTGCGGCACAAATAAGGAATCGGGAGAAAGGACGTTGTCCGCTTTACTGGACGGTTGGCTCGTGTCCTTCTTGAGGGTCGACTCTCAGAAGTTCTAGACATCATCTTTTGCGTTGACAATGAAAGCGATGAAAGGAGGAACACTCGTCCGCTTAAGCAAGGCACGACCCGCCGAGGCCACCCGCCCAGAATCACCCACAAACGCAGGTACTTGCTTACTTACCAAGTCCTTAGCTTAGGCGTGCAACTGGAGAACTTCTCGGTGAGTGGGTGCCCAAGTCTTTTAATGGGTAAGACCAAGCGGGAGGCTCCAGTCACCCGCCGCCCACTATGTCTCACCGGTCAGTAGAAGCCAGTGGGAGAAATTGTGGGGAGATTGAGATCGCCAGCCTTACTTGACCAGCCTTGCTTTCATGAAGCATTTTCGAGTTTGAAGTGTTACAAGAGTACAGTGAACGTCTCAGTCAAACATGCGTGTAACGTCCATTCGTCTCATCAGACGCCTTATCTTCTCACCATCTCTAGTAGACTTCTCATTCATTTTGATCCCAGTCGTATCGCGCAATGTGTCAACCCACCTTCTCCTCCGCCTCACGATTCATGTGCCCCGGTGCAAAGGGAAAAAAATGTCATCACTTCAAACTGAGGCATCGCAGGATCTTCACAATGAATGGACGGCCGAAGCCATCATCGTCGTCACCTGCATGACCCTGTCGCTGTACAACTGCGTCGAACTCCTGTTGACCATCCTGACCACGTTCCGAGAATGGCACGGCCTCTACTTTGCCGCGCTCATCGTCGCCTCCGTCGGCATCCTCCCTTACTGCCTTGGGTTCCTGCTCGAGTATTTTGAGTTCCTCGTCTTCTGGGCCGCTCAGATGTTCAGTACCATCGGTTGGGTCATGATGATCACCGGCCAATCCTTTGTGCTGTACTCACGTCTGGGTCTCATTCTACGCAATCACCAGGTCCTAAACGGGATCAAGTGGATGATCATCACGGACGCCCTTATCTTCCATACCCTCACCACGGTTTTCCAGTATGGACAGGCGTACGGCGGAGAGCAGCGCGCCTTTGATCGCGCTCTGTTTTACATGGAAAAGATACAAATGACGGCGTTTTGCGTGCAAGAATTCATCATCTCGGGCATCTACCTGTGGAAGACGGTGCAGCTGCTGAACTTGGTGTCTAAAGAGGGCACGCGGAGGGTCATGTGGGAACTGTTGACCATCAACACCGTCATCATCTTCATGGACATGGCCCTGTTGTCGCTGGAATACAAGGGCCTGCGGACGATGGAAAGAGCTTTCAAGAGTTTCATCTACTCGGTCAAGTTGAAGATGGAGTTTGCCGTGCTGGGGAAGCTGGTCAATCTTGTGCAGTCGAGCACAAGGACGCTGTCGAATGCGCTGGCCGATGTCGATTCTTTCAGAAGAACACCGTCGTCGGCCTACACTGATGCGAATGATCAGATTCCGGAGTGGATGGCCAAGTTGGAATCGCGTCCTGTGCATGTTGAACGGGTCAGGACGGGTCGAACGATCTCAATAGACTGATTGTGCTGGCCTCCTTGGTTAGATTTGAGGCGTACACCACCTCTTGCTTGGTGGCAGGGATATGTGGAATCCCAGTCCAGATTAGATGAAAGTTTGCATCTTCTTTGGATGAGAAGACCTTTACGATTTGGAGAACACCATGGTCAGTTTGTCTTACGACGAAGATATCCTAATCTGCCTCACATCTTTACTACTTAGTACTTGGTTCTTGCACCAGGAAGCTGGATACTACTGCTTCAACCTGTCACTCATCATGTCAGTCATCATATGCACGGTACAGTTCACAGTGCGTGACTTGGTTACTTTGTAGTTACAGTGTAGTTGGTAGGTAGGTGTTTCAGTCTCCAAACTGGAAAAGTTGAGCTACTGGAAAGTGTTTTAAACGCGTCACGAATTTCGCCGAAACGGGTAATACTACCAATGGCTTGCACTTCCGACTCTGAATAATGCTAGCATCCATCAAGATCTATACGGATGATACTAGTTCTAATGCGTCTCTCTGGCCTGCCTCCCTGTCTGCCATAATGGTTGGGTACTAACACTGAACTCTGTTCAAGTCAACGGTCTTTCCCTTTTGGGACCACGGAACCTGGAAATCCCAATACGGCAATCGTTCCTGCCTCGAAGAAAGGAGGATGCACCGTCTCCTTCCACTACAAAAGTCGCGTTTTTGACCACACTCTGCAAGTGGTAGTAAATCCAGGTCTTACTGGCGTTTTAGTTTAATGTAGCATCTCACTTGGACTGTAGTATTGGTAGTTCGGCACGGCAGGTAGTAGTACTTGGCTGCTATGCATATAAGAGGAAGCAGCAAGGTACTACTAGTACTATCTTGCCCACCCCCTATTAGTAGTTGTTTGATGCTGTATACTCTGATGTGCACCTGATGCATTAATGCATTCTTAAACCCTTTGATGCAGCGTCATTGTAGTATCTGATGTAGCAGCATCATCAAAACTGTGCATCTATACAGCATCAAACTATCCGAGTGGGTGGGCCGTAAGGTAGTAAACCCTTTGTTCATCAATACTAATCCATCGATCGATCTTCAGATGGGTGGCGGGCACCATTGCCAGGAAGTGGTAGTTTTGGTCTTCTGTTGTGCAAGGGCAAGCCTCGCGAACCTCCAATCGGTATCTCACGCTGATGCTGCACGATCGGTGGCCCTACAGCGAGCCAAGGGGAATAACTTCTAAGTACTAGTAGTGGCTGTGGCGTTAGTTGATCTCTTACCTAGCAAGGCTGTAATACCTGCGAATACTAGTTTATACCAGAGTACTAAGTGACTGCGCTACTACCCAGGACCTCCTTTGGGCATGTGCAGATGCCTATTTTGGGAAAAGGTCGGTGGTCCGCAGCGGATGCGTACTCCGTACTCCGTACCTGCTGCGTGAGCCTCGACTTTGTACAATTCAACTAAGTAACTCTGCAAATACCACACGGGGACAAAGGAGAGGCAAAGATGACGGAGCAAAGTAAGGCTGTACACGCTCGCGGGATATTAACTAACCTTGCTACTAGGCTCCTATCACTAGGCTAAGTAGTACTTGCAAGTACTTGATTGGGAGTTTGCGCCTACCACCTCCCGCGGGGGAGATGGTGCTCATGTAATCAAATCAACCCTCATTGCATAACCCAACCTACAACGGACGGCTATTCTCAGGCAATCACTCACTTAGTCACTCGGAGACCGAGGTGCCGAGTTCCCTTGTCCATCCATCCATACTACTCGGTTCTTTTGTAAGTGATTCCGCGACATTTTACATTCCGCACGACGTTTGACAAATGCTATACTGAGTCAGCCGGCCAGCAAGCCGGGCAGCCAGACGAAACGGTGCCGAGCACACTCGTACGAGTAATCTTCTGGAGGTTAGGCCTCGTACTCTTAGGTGTGCGTGGCTAAGGTACGACGAGTAATTCTAAGTAGTAGTTAGGCCCCGCAAATTCCCGAGACCTTGATCCCAGCCACTTGCCCAGAGGTGCAGTGCGCGGGTGCAGATGCAGAGATGGTGAACTTTTGAATCCCATCCTTGCTCATGCATGCGTCGGGTACTAGTACTAGTATCGGGTATCGGGCTCGGGTAGGGAACCTTGGTGCTTGGGGTTTGGCTGTGTGGGCTGCCCACCGACGAAGTGTGTCTCCTCCAAGTGTGGTTGGTACCTGTAGTACCTCTAGCGGTGGAATCACGAGAGCGTTACATTTGGTGGGTGCGAGATCGGCCTCTCTAACCTAACTTCAAAGTTCTTCTTGATCACTGATGAACCGGCAATGGTTGTCTGTCTGTTGTCTGTGGCCTGATTTGATTGGGCTGAACTTGACTTGGAGTTGAACTTGTGCCAGAATGTTCTGGACCATTCCATTCTGATATCAGTACATACCTTCCTTCTCGAGTGAGTGAGTCTGTTTGTCTGCCTATTCGTGTGTTTCCTGTACATGCAGAATCAATGTCAAGCTCTCACTCGCGAGGTCAAAGTTTTCGAGATGCGTCTCTGGATGCTTTGCTAGCTTTCTGACAAAGTCTCGTCACGAGTTGTCGTCGAGGTTGTTGTGCCGTTCTCTCCACTGAGCCAAGGAATGTTCATGAAAAGGGCTTCAACCAAATCCAAATTTGCGGGTGCCTCCCCGATCGATGCACATGGGCTCGCTGGTGGCTGGTCTGGTTAAGCTGTTCCCGAGGAAAGAATGCTTCAGGGGCATTTCATACTTGTCCGAGTCAGTAGCGAGCGGTTCAGTTCATCTCTTTAGTACCAAGTAACCTTTCCTTTCCATGTGGTCAAAAACTTACGACCATGGCCGGCCAGCCGCTGCTATAACCGGACCCACTGGACGCTCGTTGCACGAATATTACCAGACTCTGAAATTCTCGAGGCCTGGAACAAGCCGTGTGTTAGTTGGCGATTGATTCAGATTGTCAGGTGTTTCTCCAGCTCCAGCCTGCATGGTGCAGCAAGCAAGCTCTTAGAGAACTTGGGTCGGTCGGTCGGTAAGTAGATTTTCAGCGCCCAGATTTTCTGAAATAGGTTTGCATCCAGTCGAGTCTATCTGCAAGCGAAGGCAAGATCCAATGGTTGACTGCCGATAATGCCGTGGTTGTCAGACCACTACATCAGGCAATGCCAAACCACATTCTTACTACCTACAAGCACAACCCACGCAAAAGTACTACATCTAATGAACAGCGCTGCCGTATTGGCAGACAATGCCAACTCGTATTTCTTGTAGCCAGGGGTCGTATTGTCGTGACCCTGGCTGGCGCAACCAGCAAAAAGCAAACAATTGACTTCAGCGTTTGAAACCCTCGAGAACGGGGTTGACTTCCGCGTCATGGGATCAATCAATCGAACCGATTCATAGGTGCGCGCGCCCAACTACTGAGTTGGGTCTGATCAAGTCAGATGTTGCAAAACCTCTCTCTGTCTTATCAGACATGCCATCGAGATACTTGTAGAGCAAGGTCGCTCTGCGGAGACTAGCAAACCAGGCAGGATGCCGCTAACCAGGTCACCTACCTCACACTCGGAGACAACAGCAGCTCTCAAACCATACCTCACATGCGTGCACGGTCCACGGGAGCAGAATTTGCCGCTTGTGTATGCGAACCTCGAAGCTGCCGAACTCTATGCGAACCATCACCAGATGCGTACTTGTAGCTTCTAACTTACCAGGAGAGAGCTCTGAGCTCCGAGCTATTGAAAGTTGTGACCGACCGATTGAGCGAACCACAGAAGCCCGGAAAAAAACATCCACAGAGAGAGAGAGAGAGAGAGACATCACGGAACTTTTGTTTTAGTCTTTGACGGTCGGTCGGGAGCTCAAGCTGCAAGCTGCAAGCAAGCGTTGATCCCCACAACACAAACCTCGTCTCCAGGAGTTACGTTAGTACCTACAAGGAGCTCTCTAACTTGCATCTGAGATCTGAGACTCTTTGTAAAAGTGTGCTGCGTTTGCGGTGACCACTGGCCCATGGACCCATGGATCCATGGGCGTTTCTCGGATTTATCGTCCGTCCGTCCGTCAGTCAGTCAGTCGGCTGATCCTCACATCTGAGATGGTCCCATCGCTGGCCAACAAACAAGTACTCGGTAGGTGGTAGGTGGTCTGTCTGTCTGGCTGTCTGGCTGTCTGTTCGCTCGACTCGCTCGACTCGGTGCGCGAGATTGTACGAGAACGAGAGGGACGGGACGAGAACGAGCGAGACTGCGAAGGGAGAAGAATGTGATCTCGCACCGAAACTCGGAGCGCAAGAACAGATAGAATGACATAGTTAGACTGTCTAAGTACGTCTGTACACGTACACGTAGGCATACAGGAAACGCAGGATGGCCAACCGCAGGAAATGGTCAACCGTCCTGTCAAGCCACAAGTAAATCCTACAAGGTCCTTAGTAGCTGGACGTTAGGAGAAAAGTTTTATTTTAACAATCTCATGTATGAATCATGTACAAAAGGCTTTGTGCTGTGATCGCATGTTTGAGCACCACCTCAAAGCAGAGCTCCAGAACACACTTCCCCCGTCTGATCCGTGGCCCCATGCAGATAACAGTGACCATATGAACACAAGCTGTTGTACAGTCTATCGATACGGAAAAAGGTCAATGCAGTATAAGTGCAGTATGTCGCCTGGTCCAACACTTTTTGATCTTTCCCCCCTTTTGTTCAATACAAAACAGCCACCGCCCATTTTTGCGTCTTCTCCAAAACAAACCCAAAAAGAAATAATAGAAAAAATTTCCAAGCCACAATCCAGTGACGAATCATGCCCAGAAAAACTCTCAAACACATGCAGATCCATCTCATATTCAAATCGTTCATAGCCAGCCTCGCCTCGCGAAGCCTCGTCTTGTCGTCATCATTTGTTGCAGCTTGACCGAGCCTCGAGCCTGACGCCATGCTTTATCCGGAAAGACCTGCCGGCCTCCAATACCCCGCTAGTGTCGAAAAAGAACCACTCCCATTTCGTCATACGTCATTGCTGAGCTAAGCCAAGCCAACACCCCCGA